TTTTCAACTGGTCTGCTACAATAATTTTTAAAACATGCAATACCTGATGATTTAGTCAGGGGCACTGACCTCTTTTTCCTTAGATTGTCATGCACCATCTCTCTAGTCTATAAATATGTTTCTATTTTGTTAGTTCAGTTTGTTCATTACATTCCAGAGTATTTTCCTTTCTCTGACTGTCTTATTTCACTTAGCATAATGTTCTCCAGGTCTATCCATGCTGTTACAAAGGATATTTTTAAATTTTTTAAAAATATATTTTTCTTGATTTCAGAGAGGAATAGAGAAGAAATAGAACTAACAATGATGTTGAGGATAGACCCTGCAATTCAGGCATGTACCCTGATGGAGAATCAAACTGTGACTTCCTGGATAATAGGGTGACACTCAAGCACTGGCTAGGCAAGATAATTATTTTTAAAGATCTAGTATTAACATGGAGGGTTTGTCCAAAGAATGTAGATAATCTTCCTCTTCTTTTATTGTTTAAAATATTACATATGTCTCCTTTCCCCCTGATTGACTCTCTCATCCCCCCAGCCACTCTCATCCTCCAGGACAAGCCCCCACCACCCAGTGTCTGTTTCCTTTGGTTATGTTAATATTCATGCATACAAGTCTTTGGGTTGACCTCCAATCCTCTCTTCCCTGCCTTTTTTCTGAGGTTGGATGTTCTCATCGATGCTTCTCTTTCTCTGCATCTGTTTTCATTCATTAGTTTATGTTGTTCATTATATCCCACATATGAGTGAGATCATGTGATATTTATTTTTCTCTGACTGGCTTATTTTGCTCAGCATAATGCTCTCCAATTCCATCCAGGTTGCTGCAAATAAGAATTCCTTCTTTTTTATAGCAGTGTAGTATTCCATCATGTAGATGTACCAGTTTTCTAATCCACTCATCTGCTGATGGGCACTTAGGCTGTTTCCAAATCTTAGCTATTGTAAATTGTGCTGCTATGAATATAGGGGTGCATATATTCTTTCTGAATGTGTTTCTGTGTTTTTGGATATATTTCTAGAAGTGGAATTATTGGATCAAATGGATTTATGCTCAATTAATATTTGACAAAGGAGGCAAGAGCATACAGTAGAGTCAAAACATTCTCTTCAATAAATGATATTGGGAAAATTGGACAGATACATGCAAAAAAAAAAAAAAATGAAACTAGACCACCAACTTACACCATACACAAAAATAAAATCAAAATGGATAAAGGACTTAAACATCAGATGGGAAACCATAAAAAAATGTTAGAAGAATCATAGGCAGCAAAATAGCAGACATATGTCCTACCCTGTTTCCCCGAAAATAAGACAGTGTCTTATATTAATTTTTGCTCCCAAAGATGTGCTAGGTCTTATTTTCAGGGGATGTCTTATTTTTCCATGAAGAAGAATACGGTACACATTTATTGTTAAATGAAAATAAAGGAAATTTATTACCTGCATACGGTACGGTAGTATGGTAGTTGTCAACACAAACCAGACAAACTGTGAATCCTACAGTATCAAGAATTTACTCATTTATTCAATGACAATCATGTCATCATCTTCTGGAGCATCATCATAAAAATCCAATTCCTGAATTTCCTGGTGAATTTCTTGGGACTCCATTTCTTTGAGAATCAGTGGACCACATCTCTCGTTTAGCAATAGCACTGTCTCTAAATGAGTACTTCTTGTCAAGGTAGCCTGCTCACAGTGCATTTGCAATGCAACTGTCAGTGATTTTCTCCCATGAATTCTTCACCCAAGTCACAACTTCTTGCAGTTTAGGTTTCACAAAGTTTCCACGCTGATTTCTCTCCATTCTATTTTCAATGTAGTCATTAATTTCCATGCACAAATTGTCTTTGAATGGCTTGTATATTGCAATATCAAGAGTCTGGAGATAGGCCATCATTCCTGCGGGAATCATTATCTGATCTATTTTTCCTTCGTGAAGAAATGTTTTCATGTCTTTAGCGCGGTGAGTGCTGGCTGCATCCCAGACTAGCAGACCTCTTTGGCTCCCTCACATAACAAGCGGCAGCATTAAATCGACCCACTTCCTTATAACTGCTTGTGTGGCCCAGGCTTTTTCAGTTTCAAGAATAAAAACGCCTAAAACACGTTCAATCTTTTCCTTCTTGCCCTTAGAAATGATGAAAGGTGGGATTTTAGTGCCATCCAGACGAATTGCCAAAATACAGGAAACACGTGCACTTTAGTAAGCAGTGGAGGGAATGTACACAAAGGAGGCACCCTGCTGTTCAATTGTTGTTTAAGATGATTGGCCCATAAACACTGCAGTTTCATCCATAGCAATCATGTTGGAAAGATTGTATTTAGAGAAGTCAACATCATCAATAAAGGACTTGAATGTGAGTGCTCACTTAATAACTTGAGTATCTTCCAACCTAAATAATGTTGTAGATCTTCTTAAAGACAGTTCACTTCGCTGAAGGAAATTATCCAGCCAGTGTTGTGATGCTTTGAAGTCTTCGGGGGTTATGTCAAACTGTGGTGCCATTGCAAGGGCAAATTCTTGAATCTGAGCCCTATTCCCAACCAAAGCCTGCTCTCCTGTCCACAACCCATTCACAGATCAGGTCTTCCAGCTCGGAAAATAATGGTTGCCGATCTGATCCACACTTGCACTTTTTCGCATTTCCCTTGTCCACTTGTTCAATGAGGTTACCATACTCTGCTCACCATTTTCGGACCAATCGGATACTCAACATCTTCTCTTTGCAGAAAGCAGTAAGATTTTGGCCTCAAGAGTTTTCCACGATTCCTTTCTTGTACTCCATGGAGTAGCTTTTTCTTTTTGCGCTCATTTCTAGGAGTAAAAAAAAGGAATTGGGGTATCAAGGTGGGGGAAGGGGGATCACTTAAAATGACATGGGGGGGGTAGTCAGAGGGGGGAATCAAAATGGCACAGGAGAATCAGAGGGGGGATTACCATTTTAGTAACCCCTTTTGATCCTCCTATGTCATTTTGATTGCCCCCTCTGATCCTCCTGTGTCATTTTAAGTGATCCCCCTCCACCACCCCTGTGCCACTGAACACCTTCACCAGACATCCCCCCTACCTCTTTATCAGACATTTACCCCCTGGGGTCTGCCTGGGGACTGTCACTGGGCTTGCTGGGGCCTGGATCTGGGCTGGAGCAGGGTCTGTCACTGACTGAGAACTTTCAGTCATTATGAGGGCAGTTGCGAGCATCAGGTAGTGTCACCAGAGACAGACCAGCACTCGCCACCTTCGCCGTGTCCCGTCTTCTCTAATCCTCCTGTTCTTCTACACGCATCTGCGAAAGTCTCCTGCCTCGTGCTCACCGCTCATAATCCTCCTCTCCTGTCTCGTGCTCACCGCTCACTCCGGCCTCCGCTCCTCCACACAGCATTGAGGTCAGGACTCCGAGTAACGTCATTGGTTGCTAGATGCCAGTTGGGGCGGCCCTAGCGAGCAGTGTACAATAAGTTAATTTTCATTCTGAGACAGAGTCTAGCGGGGCCTTATTTTCAGGGGGATGCCTTATATTTCACTCAGAAGGAAACCTGTAAGTAGATCTTATTTTTGGAGGATGTTTTATTTTGGGGGAAACACAGTAGCAAGTGTTGATAAACTGAACTGTGATGCATTGTTGCTGGTAAGGAAAATAGTGCAACTGCTTTGGAAAAATTTGGAATTCTACGAAGTGTTAATCAGCTGAAAATGGTTTGGCTCAATGGATAGAGCGTCAGCCTGCGGACTGAAGGATCCCAGGTTCGATTCTGGTCAAGGGCATGTACCTTGGTTGCAGGCACATCCCCAGTAGGGGGAATGCAAGAGGCAGCTGATTGATGACTCTCTTGTCGATGTTCCTCTCTATTTCTCTCCCTTCCTCTAAGAAATCAATAAAATATATATTTTTTCAAAGTGTTAAGCAAAATTATTGTATGACTAAGAGTTACCATATGGCCTGGCAATTGCACTCTTGGAGTGTACTCAATAAAAATATGCATGTACATAAAAATTTATATTTGGCCCAGCCAGTGTGGCTCATTGATTGATGTCAACTCATAGACTAGGAGGTCACAGTATGAATTCCAGTCAGGGCACATACTTGGGTTGTGGGCTCGAACCCCAGTGTGGGGCATGCAGGAGGCAGCTCATTAATGTTTCTCTCTCATCGTTGATATTTCTCTCTCTCTCTCTCTGAAATTAATAAAAATATTTAATTGCTCACATCCAATTGACCTGGAGTTTTTTTAATTGCTTTACTTAGCCACATACGGGGACATTTCACATAAACGTCTGGATTTCCTGACTCTGAAAATAATTATAACAGCTGTTCCCACACAGCCACGCCCAGATGGAGCCATCCAATGCCCTCTTCAGACGGTGTGTGCCCTCACCACCTGCCCGCGCCACTCCTTCCTGTTATCTGCTTCCCTGCTGTCATGCACCCGTCCTAGGTCCCAGGATCACAGGTGAAGCATGGCTCACAGGCTGGAGCTGGAGGGAATCCCTGAATTCTGTGTCTACAAAACCTGAGATGGAAAACGAAGCAGAAGGGCTTGCTCATGGTCCCGCAGTTCCAGGAAGACGGTGATGGGCTGCTTCTGAAGTTCTCATCTGCCAGTACCAAACACGCACCTCCCAACCACAGGAGCCTGCCTGGTGGACCAAGAACTTTATTGCTGGGTGAAAAATGCCTGCTCACAGGTTCCAGGCTGCAGTTCTCGGTTCCCAATCAGTGACCCCCCACCTGCCTGGTCCTGGGCTCTTGTCCATTTGATGACCCCGGGGCAGGGAGACTTCCCACGGGCTTTCCCAGGCTGTGGCCCAGGATCAGAAAATACACATCAGTTTCCAGAAAGAGCCCTGAGCAGCTGGAGTCCTTCAGCTCCTCGCTTGGCTCTTCTGGAGTCTGTCCCACAGGAGAAGTTAGCCGCATCCATTCAACAAAGGGAAGAATTCAAGGCCAGTGCGCACTGTCCAGCCATCTCCCCTGAGCTACCAGGGGCTCAGCTTTGTAGCTCGTCTGGATCCTGACTCGGCAGCTTTAGGCCCAGGCGGCTCACAGAGCGTACAAAGTAGCGAGGGAGACTGCAGACCAGGTTGAGCTCCTCCTTCCTGGACCCCAGGGCAGGCAGGATGAGCTGGCGGGCATGCAGGTGCAGAGGGAGGTGGCGGGCTTTCGCCTGTGGCAGCCCCAGCTTCCGCAGAGTGCCGGCAGACAGCTTCTGCACAAAGAACAGACGCCCTGTGTGAGCGGCGCCGGCGACATCGCACCCTTGACCAGATGCACGTCAGAAGCCTGGCATGGAGGCCTCGGACACAAGCACCCCCGGGAGAGGGAGCATGGCAGCCTCCCGCAGAAGCACGGACAGGAAGGGCTGGGGACCCAGGTGGGAGCACCCCGCCATAGCAGGGAGGCTGTAGTGGTCAGTTCTCTGCCCACCAAGGAATGGCTGGGGCACCAGGACTGGAAGTGCCTAGCACAGCTCTTCAGCAGCATGAATGGTGACTATGAGCCTTCAGAGGGCCCCCTTTCCCCACAGCCTCCTAACAAAACCAGAAACCTTCCCGGCCAGCGTGGCTCTGTGATTAAGCGTTCACCTATGAACCAAGAGGTCACGGTCAGATTCCTGGTCAGGGCATATGACTGGGTTGCAAGCTTGATCTCCAGTGTGGGGCATGCAGGAGGCAGCCAATCAATGATTCTCTCTCATCATTGATGTATGTCTGTCTGTCTGTGTCTGTCTCTCTCTCTCTCTCTCTCTCTCTCTCTCTCCTGCTTCCTTCCTCTCTGAAACCAATAAAAAATACATACATATTTTAAAAACCCCAAAGTCTGAGACCAATCAAGCAGCAGAAAGGTTTGCTGAGGCCCTGCAGGGGCATGAGGGCAGCAGCGGGCTGCTCCTGTTCTCCCTATGCTGGTAACTGGTGCTGCCGAGTCTGACACCCCTCGGTACGCCCCTCAAGAGCCACATGCAGCTCACAAGCCATGGTTTGCCGCTCTGTTGACTAATGAGTTTGCTGACCACTGTCATATACTACCCTTTACCTCTTTGCACACAATATGCCACAATTGCCTAATCCTCAAAGCTTCCAACTACATGGTGACATTTAATATAGCAGTGGCTGGCAAACTTATTAGTCAACAGAGTGGCAAACGCAGCTCGCCAGCTGCATGTGGCTCATGAGCCGCAGTTTGCCAACCACTGCATTAGGGGATCACATGGGGAGGCCCAAGTTCTGCCCCATAGTTGGCTGCAAATCCGTGTTACCTGAGGGGCCAACTTATTCCAGTCCGAGTACTTATGATCGCCAAGGATTGGGCAATCCAATCCAAAAGACAGGTGAACACGAAGCTGATGTTTTACTCCTTTAAGAAAAAGAGAGAGAAGACTTGTGAGTGGCTACAGAACAGTGCCACTGGCAGCATCTGCTTCTACTCCATTAACTCAAAGCACAGTAAGCTGGCAAAGCCCCAACTACTGGTACATTCAAGTATAAAGAACAATATAACAATCTATAAGCTATTAGGGAGTAAACATTATAAATACTGTTACACCCACAATTTCCCCTTCCCCACCACAGTTAACCTTTAGCATCATCCTGGTGTCTATCTCTGCCATGCTGTGTTTTCAAAAAATAGTTTTATTACATAACATAATAGTATTGTTTTACATGTTTTTAACATTTATTTTTTATTGTGACAAAATATATATAACAAAAAAATTACCATTTGAACCCTTTTAAGTGTACAGCTTAGTGGCCATAAGTACATTCATACTGTTGTGCAGAAATTTTGCTTTGTCACAAACTATAACTGTACCCATTAAACATCAGCTGGTTTGGCTCATGGATGGATCGTTGGTTGTGGACTCAAGGGTCCTAGATTCGATTCCAGTCAGGGGCATATGCAATGCAGTTAAAGGGGTGCTGGAGGCAGCTGATCAATGATTCTCTCTCATCATTGATGTTTCTATCACTCTCTCCCTCTCCCTTTCTCTATGAAATTAATAAAAATATATTAAAAATAAAAATAAATTTTATTTTTTTAAAAATAGCTCCCTATCTCCTTCCCCTCTAGCCCCTGGGACCACCAGCCTATATTAGGTCGACTCTAGGCATCTCATATCACTGGACTCATACAATATTTGTCCTTTGTGTCTGGCTTATTTTGCTCAGCATAACACCCTCAAGGTCCCTCCTTGCTGCAGCACTTGTCAGAATTTCCTCTCTTTTTAAGGCTGTATAATATTCCATTGTGTGGATATACCACATTGCTCATCTATCCATCTGTCAGTAGACATGTGGGATGTTTTCATTTTGGCTACTGTGAATAGTGCTGCTAGGAACATTGGTGTGCAAGCATCTTTTTGAATCCCTGCTTTCAATTCTTTTGGATGTATACCCAGGGGTAGAACTGCTGGATCACATGGTAATTCTAAGCGTCATTTTTTTGAGAAACCACTGGCACTATTTTAAATAACTATAAAAAAATTATATCTTTTTGCTACCTACTGTTTCCTTTTGTTGTTTGTTTTTTTGATGTATACTTTTATTGGTTTCCGAGAGGAAGGGAGAGGGAGATAGAAACATCAATGAAAGAAAATCACCAATCAGCTGCCTCTTGCATGCCCCACAATGGGTGTCGAGCCCACAACCCAGGCATGTGCCCTTGACCGGCAATCGAACCCTGATTTCCTGACTCATAGGTTGATCTTCAACCACTGAGCCACGCCGGCCAGACAGCTACCTAGTGTTTTTAACTGTTATCCCTCCTGAAGCTCCCAGGCTCTCCGACAAGTCAGTTGCAATTCCGTCCCCACCATACCAGCTGCTCAGGAGGACAGAGCCCAGCAGCACGGGGCACCCTGTGGGACCGTGGTGCCTCCTGCCGTGGTGTGGCAGTCCCCTCACCAGTGATAGGGTGGAGCTCCAAAAGGGCGGAGGACACGGTGCTGCTCAGCACCTGGTACTCAGTCACAGCCACCTGAGCACTCCGGTTGGCCCGCACTTTCACCATCTTCCCGTTGTCCATGCGGTAGCTCGGGGACAGCGTCATCTGAAGCCAAAAAAACCCAGATGTGATTCCAATGGACGAGCAGAACCCGCCCCCCCCCAACCCCCCACAGGTAGGTGGCTCACCCACCTTGTGGTGCTTCTGCCCTTGCACCTCCTTCTCCACGATGGGGATATCCACGACGCCTGCTGAGGGCACAGGGATGCGCACAGTGATGGTCCTGGGGAGATGGCGGAGGACACAGACCCTGCTTAGGCCACAAGAGTGAGTGAGGCATTCGTCGGGTTTGGCAGCTTGCAGGTTTTCACAGCGGACCTGCTGTGGCCCCTTCCTATGATCAGAGGGCTCCAAACGACCTCTTGGCAGAGTGCGTGGCCTGAGAGCTTAATACGATTCTTACAACCTAGCTCTTTCACTCCTCGAGTAATGTTAAGTTTATTGTAGAATATTTGGGGAGGGGAAACAGAGAAAAAAATTATATCGATAACATGGTCTTCCATTCCAGCCTTTAAAAATGAGTATGGCCCTAACCGGTTTGGCTCAGTGGATAGAGTGTCGGCCTGTGGACTGAAGGGTCCCAGGTTCGATTCCGGTCAAGGGCATGTACCTTGGTTGCGGACACATCCCCAGTAGGGAGTGTGCAGGAGGCAGCTGATCAATGCTTCTCTCTCATTGATGTTTCTAACTCTCTATCCCTCTCCCTTTCTCTCTGTAAAAAAAAAAAAAAAAAAAAAAAAAAAAAAAAAATATATATATATATATATATATATATATATATATATATATTTTTTTTTTTTTTAAACAAACTGAGGTAACCTATATGCACTAACATGAAAAGATCCCAAAACACAGAGTTAGGTGAGTAAAGAAAGTACAATGTACGTTGTACAATGTGATATATACACACACACACACACACACACACACATAAATATATTGACACAGGACAGGAGGAATAAAAAGTCCCTAAGGGAAGGGACGAAAATGACAGAGTGGATGGATTCTCCAGGAGTTTTGTGCTTTATTTCTGTCATTTGACTGCTTGATCACAGAAATCATGTATTACTTGTATAAATTTTCAATGGTCTTCACGTATAGCCATTATTAGGAGCAACTCGAATGCTCAAAGCACTAAATCTGCTTCCCTCACCTTTCCAATGGCCACGGGTCCTAGTACACTGCCTCCTGGTAACAGGAGTGGCCGCTGTATGAATGCATGAATAGAAAAAAGGGATGCCTTCACGCCTACCCCCTCTACCGCTATTGGCTGGCTCCATACCAGTACTTCTTCACCACCTGCCGGGTTCTGAAGAGCTCTTGGACCTGGTGTGCCACCTCCTTGTCCCGAGCCAACACCATGACGCCTGTAGTCTCCTTGTCGAGCCGGTGGCACAGATGCAGGGGCTCTGCCTTGTGGCCATGAAGCACCTTTGCCAGGATAGGCAGGACATCACTGATGCAGAGCTTGACCCCAGGGCCACCTATGATAGGAAAAGACAGGTTTGAGTGGCCAGGAAAAGCCCCACCAAAGAACTCTGCTTGGGAAAGAAAGCCCTCACTAGATTAACTGTCAACGCTTTCCAGGGCCTTATCCAGGGTCTCCCAACATCCTTATGCCAAGGAGCTTGCTAGAAAGGAACCTCAGGCCCCCAGCTCAGACTATCCAACAAAATCTGCATTTTTAACAAGATGTCCAGCCCTAGCTGGTTTGGCTCAGTGTACAGATTGTCAGCCTGCAGACTGAAGGGTCCCAGGTTCAATTCCGGTCAAGGGCACATGCCTGGATGTGGGCTCGGTCCCCCGTGGGGGCCTGCAGGAGGCAGCCAGTCAATGATTCTCTCTCATGTTTCTATGTCTCTCTCCCTCTTTGAAGTCAATAAAAAATATATTAAAATTTTAAATTATTTTGAATGCAAGGCTGCTGAGAGCCCCCTGAGTGTTGCCCCTAATTGTGGCAGAAAGCAGCAGCGGCCTCCCTCCCTCCCTTTCCCACGTGGTCCTTACCATGCACAGGGAGACCATAGGGCTTATTGATGACCACAAGGTCCTTGTCCTGGTGGACAATCCCCCGGCTCAGTGCCTTAGCGAGCACGTTGGGGTGGACTCGTTGCAACTGCTGCGTGAACCGCACTAGTTCGTGCACTCTCCGCTGGACCGGGTTTTTGAGCTCCTACGGGGATAGAAAAAGCGATGGGAACATGCTTGATGGGGAAGATCTTCAAGAAGTCTGGGTAGGTGAGCATCTGGGCAGGGAGAGCATCGCTGTATCTTTGCAGTAGACTCGCGCCTTCCCCCAGTAAATTGAGAGGGGGATGCTTAGCGTAGAGCCCGCAGGACCCAAGGACCAGCCCCACAGGAAGGCACCGCAAGCTGCAGATCTTTCCTTTCGCTTCCTCTCCATTCTCCACCACCGACCAGGACCTTGACTTGCATTCTCCCAGAGGACCCTCGCCCGCCAGGGGACCCAGAGCGCACTGCCTCTTGGGAATTGCAGTCTTTCCCTCGGGACTCACCGGCTCCTTCTTCGCCTTTTGTTCTTGTTTCTGGGCTCGGAGCTTCTCCGCTAACTGCTGGGCGTCCAGGGGCTTAGAGGCAGCAGCAGCGGCGGCGGTACAAAATGGCTTTAGGACGAGACAGAGGAGACTGCCCCGAACCCGGGGGCGCAGCACGCCCCAGCTGGGCGCCGCCATCTTGCCGAGGAGGGCGGGGCAAGCCGCGACCCTTCTGACTGAGGGGGCGGGGCCGTGCGGGTCACGTGGGGCGGAGGGGCGGGGTAAACCCGGGCCGGGTCACGTGGGCGCGCACGCTGAGCGCTCCTGCGCCGGCCGTTCACCGCAGTTGGAGCGGCTGGCGTGAGGGGAGGACGCGGTGGGTGCGCGCGGAAGCTCGGCCCGGGTGGGACATGCCGGCTCCTCTGGCGTTACCTCCGCGGTCGCAGCATCTTTTCTCGGAGGGCACGGCCAGCGAGACCATGTCTCCCCTGAGGGCGACGCTACCGCCCCAAACCCTGTCCGCCTCCGCGCGGAGCGGTGCTCCCGGACGCTCTCCCCGGAGCCGCCTCAGGCGCCGGCTCTTCGCCTGGCGACCGCGTCCGCGGGGCTCGGCTGTTCCCCGGCGGGGCGCGCCCTGCCCTTGCCGTCCATTTCCGGGCTGCTCGACCCTCGGAGATGCCCGCTGTGGCTGTCACCTCTCGGCTCCCAGGCCTCTTGGTCATACGTAGTAACCTGTTCTCTCCCTGGGGTGATGGGGGTGGGGGCAGCCCTCGCGTTACCCGCCCCCCCAACCGATTTCCTGCCTAGGGAACCCCTGGAGGGTCTTTTCTGTCCTCCCTCCAGAATGCATTTCTTGCAGCGCCCCCCCCCCCCTTCCCCTGCTCCTTCCCAAGAAGAGGCTGAGACCGTCCCCTTTCCATTCCCTTCATTGTTGGTTTTTTCCTTCCATATTTCGCAACCTTCTCCTCTCCCCGTCTTCCTTTGGGATTCTCGTGCGACACTGTAAGCGACTTTCTCTGACTTCACTAACGGGGCGGCCGGGGAGATGGACGGCTTGGTGGGGATGGGATGTGGGACCCACCTGCCTGCTGGGTCGGGAGGAAGCGAATGCCGAGTTCTGTCTGAGCGAGGGGGTCCCGCCCCGGCGACCAAGGACCGAGGGGGCGCGCGTGACGATGGCTTATTAGAGTGGAGGCCGCCCGAGGAGTTGGGGTGTGGAGTCGTGGGATCGGGTTCGCGCCCCACCTAACCCCTCCAAAAGGGATTGGCAGGCGGGGAGCCGTATATTGAGCTAGAAATCAACCTGAGCAGGTAAGTGGGGCCGGCCAGCCGGTGAAGGGATCGAAAGAGAAGAGTCTGAGCTAAGCGACCTGTGATAAGGAGGGAGGAGTCTGCAGCTTCTGGAGCTGGACGGAGACTCCGTGCAAGGGGAATTGTGGAAAGTAATCAGGACAGGTTGAAAAGGAAAGGGCTTGGGCTTCAGGGAAATCAGAGGATGCTGCAGTCTGGGCGTGCACACCCACACATGTCTACACCACGCAGAACCCTACGCTTCTTCATTCAGCGGCTGTCTCCCCCTCCTCTTGAGTTTGAGTTGGGGTAGAGTTGTACAAGTCAAAATGCACCATTGGGCTCTGACTGGTTTGGCTCAGTGGATAGAGCGTCGGCCTGCGGACTCTAGGGTCCCAGGTTTGATTCCACTCAAGGGCATGTACCCTGGTTGTGGGCACATCCCCAGTGGGGTGAGTGCAGGAGGCAGCTGATTGATATTTCTCTCTCATCAATGTTTCTCTTCCTCTCTGTAAAAAATCAATTATATATAAAAAAACAATTATATATATATATATATATATATATATATATCTTTTTTTTTTTTTTTTTAAGATGCATCATTGGCTGCTGCTATTGAACTGTGAGTCCCTTACAGACTCATTCAGTTTTTTATTTCCACATCTGGCACAAGGGTAACATCGAAGATTCATTAGATGAAATGCATCATAGACATGTGTGGGTGTGTCTGAACATTTTGATTTGTCTTCTGTCACTTTTTTTTTTTTTTTTTTTTTTAAGAATGGAAGTATCTGTGAAGAGTAGGAAAGAAGGTGTGTGTGTGTTTCTGTAATAAGACAGGGGACTGGGATAGAAATGCAAAGAATTACAAGGGAGTTTGGGAAGCAACTTCTCTCTCTCCTCCTGCCCGCCCCTTCCCCTCTGCAAATTCACAGGTAAAACATAATCTGTGAAAGTTGAGACATTCCACCCTACAAGAATTATTATGTTTTACTGATATGCTTCAGACACGATTCTGATTTCACTGAAATGTTGCACATCACATATTATTTAGGCGCATGAAGACCCTCCCCCCGACTCTGAAATTTTGACATCAGGACTTTAGTTCACTTTGGGGCTAGGACTTCTATGGTTTTGTGGGGGCTGGGAAAAACTATTTCTACCTTAATTTGTCCTTGATGGCATTTAAGAAATGATATCTGTTCTTGCAGAATTGGCCTTCTGTGGCAGGAAACAAAATGAAGAACCAACTCAGATATTACTGGTGACCCAGAGCTGGTGTTCTTGGGTTTCAGACAACACTGTAGCACCCAAGAATAAAAACACTGGTCACTTTTTTCTGGAGCAGGAACTCCTAGATTTTTTTGTGGTTGAAACGTCATAAGAAAACTTGTGAGAATTGAAAGACCTTGTTTGCTTGTTATCAGTCTTAGCCAACATGGGTACGGAAATTATAACTTCCCTAATGAGTCTAGGCATCTGGTGATTTAAAGTAGAGCTGCTATAGAGACAGTAAAGCAATAGGCAGACTGTCAAATTACAGCAGGGAGGGCAGGGAGATCTGGAGGAGATAATAGATCAACCGAAGGACTTGTATACATGCATCTAAGTACAACCAATGGACACAAAACTTTGGGGAGGGAGGGTATTGGGAAGGGGGGCATTGTTAAAATATGTACACAGATAATAATTTAATAAAAAAATGTAAAATAAAATATTTAAAAAAAAATAGAGCTGCTGAGGCCCCTCCAGGTCGGCCTGGGTAGAGCCCCTGGCAGAGGGCAGTTCACCTGAGCCTTCTTTTTTTTAAAAAATATATTTTATTGATTTTACACAGAGAAGAATTGAGAGGGATAGAGTTAGAAACGTCGATGAGAGAGAAACATTGACCAGCTGCCTCCTGCACACACCCCCACTGGGGATGTGCCCGCAACCAATGTACATGCCCTTGACCGGAATCAAACCCGGGACCCTTCAGTCCCCAGGCCCATGCTCTTCCACTGAGTCAAACCGGCTTTGGCAACCTGAGCCTTCTTTCCCAGCCCCGCATCCAAGCCCAGCTGGCACCAAAGAGCGTGGGCCAGTGCTGACTGGCCTCCCAGCCTTCTGGCCGTCCCGGCCAGTTGGCACAGCGGGGTGCTGTTGGCTCTGACCACAAGACCGAGGCTGGGCTTGGGCCTGCAATGGCAGTGAGCCCACCTCTGCTCTGCCTGAGATCCTGGGGTGGGTTGATGTGAAGGTCCCTCTCAAGCCAAAAAGCTAGGACCTTTGCACATCCATTGATTCTGGCTGGTCCCGGTCCCTGGGGACCCACCCAACCACCACCACCACCAGTGGCAGGAGAGGCTTACTAGGCTGGTCTTACCAACACAGACGGTGCAAACACTCTGAACAGTGTTGTTTTTGTATCAATATGTTGGTACAGTAATGAATGTATTTATTTCTCAGTCTTGGGGCAAGCGAGAGGCAGCCTGGGCTCTGCCACCGCACGCCCCTGCCAGACCGAGTCACTGCAGGGGCTCGTCCAGGGTTGCAAAACAAAGACGAACCTTTAAGCAAATAAGAATCTCAGAGACTCGCAGCATAGCCATACACCTCAGTCTGTGAACGAGCAATCCAGACCCAGACGGCTTTCAGAACCCCACGCAGCCATGCATGTGCTTCCTGTTAGTCACCACTCGGGACTGGACTGCCCTCTAACCCCACCCTATCAGTATCCACTGGACTTGACAGAGCGCAGGAGTGCGATCTGGGCGGGCTGGTTGGGCAAGCAGACCCCAGCTGCCATCCATGCAACCGTCCTGAGCTGGGGTGAAGCCTGGGCAGCCCCAAGGGCAGGGCTCAGGGAAGAGGTCACTGTGTCCATCCTGTCCCCTGGCTTGGGGGACGAAAGCAGAGGCACCAGGCCTCAGGTGAACAAACCAAAGGATCTCCGTTCTGCCCCTGAGGGACCAAGGCCTTGCTCCTCCCCAGAGCCACGTTGGGGCAGATGCTATTGAACCTGTGAATCCGATGCCAGGAGAGGGGATGGAGAGGGAACTAACCAGAGCCTCCGTCTGACATTCCAAACGAGGGGGTGGGTGTGCACTGCGGGAATTGAGGCTGCCCAGTCCCCCCAGGTTCAGTCACCCCACTTTTTCTACCAGGAACTCCTCCCCCTACCTCACCTTGCTATTGCTGTAATTTATTGACCTCAGAAATGCTGCCTAACAGACCTCACTTGGGACAGGGAGGCTCTCCAGGCCCCCCATCCACTTGGCGGGGTCCTGTGGGGCCAGGTGCTGAGGGGAGCCTCCCTGTACCCTACACATCACTTGCTTTCCCCTTCCCCCCTTGGGGGACCCCAGGTTGGGCACTGGCCCATTCATAAATACCTCGAGGGGGAGGGAGAAGAATGGGGTTATAGCTATTTTGTTTATTATTATATTTTTAATTTTTAAAAAATATATTTTATTGATTTTTTACAGAGAGGAAGGGAGAGAGAGAGCTAGAAATGTCGATGAGAAACATCTACCAACTGCCTCTTGCACACCCCCTACCGGGGATGTGCCCACAACCAAGGTACATGCCCTTGACCGGAATCGAACCTGGGACCCTTCAGTCCGCAGACCGACACTCTACCGCTGAGACAAACCAGTTTCAGCTAGCTGTTTTATTTAATTGGAACTGGAAGAGGGATCATGTCCTTACGTTATGCCCTTCCCAGAAAGGGGGAGGAACACCTGTGATCGCACTCCTGTACTGGCCACTGCCGCTGTCAGTCATCACGTTGAGTTCACTTCCCTCGAGAGTTTGGATAAATTCAGGTCAGAGCTGCAAGTTTGCAGCCCTCATGTGTCATAGAAAAGCAATTCACCTATGACTGATCTCTCCATTCAGAAGTGTGCAGTCTTAATGTATAGTGATGA